TACAAATAAAAAAACAAGGAACAAATTGACCATGACTACTGTTTTCGTATCAGCCGACATATAAAATGTTTTAAAACAAAGGAGAGGAGATAAAGGACTATATAATAACTAATTGGCTTTAGAATGATCAATACAACCAGTTGTGGACAACTGATCATGCCCTCCTTGCGCGGGGTGGGTTTTTTTTTTTTTTTTTTTGGGGGGGGGGGGGGGCTTGCAATGATTGGTGCTCAAGTTTTCCTACAATAAGCATGATAATACATCAGTTTTCTCACACTACAGTGCAGTGCATATGCTTGCTGTAGTGGCAGAATGGTAGGGGTAACAACTGTAAAGTCATGCTCCAAGATGAAAGCAGTGACTTTGTGTAAATAAGAACCAAAATTAGTTCCCCCCCCCCCCTTTTTTTTTCTTCTCCTCAACCCATCAATTGGATAATTACCATTTATCAATAGTATTGTAGGTGCTACAAGATTCAAGTACGAATGCCAAAAATAAGTTAGGCTAGATTGACAGAGAAGACATACTGCCAATGTTTTAAAAAAAAAAAATGTTAATTATTTTAAAAGCTAATTCAGCCTAAATAGAGCAGAGTACCCAAAAAAAATGACCTATATACCTACTTCTGAATACAAAAAAGTGCTGAGAAATTCAATAAATGAATACCTCAGGAAGTTTCTGCCAGAAAACAACATCCAATCGGGCATCCAGAGTGTTCTCAAAGACAATCTTTCCATCTTGTGAAGCTAGGACAACCCCTCCGGAGCTTTCAAATCGTCAATAATGGAGTTATAAGAGGAAACCAGAAGCATTATCAGCACAAGCGTCAAAATTAGAAATGACACAATATGGTCTACAAGGCTAATATGGAATAAATAGAAGTAATCCATTTATTTTCCCAAGCATATCAAATCTCTAGCCCTTCTCTACTACATATTGTTAAGTTGCATCCTCTTGTATTAGAGGCTCGACACAGAAGAAAATGGGTCTGTACCCAGTCTAGTCTAGTCTATCGGTTACAGGGACTAAACTGGGAAATGACCCTTTTCAAGAAAAAAAGACAGAACAATTTCATTCTAAAAGGACAAGATGCTCTAATAATGCAAAAGATCCCATGACTTTAGTACCACAGCTGCAAGAAGAGGTTGTAATAGCTACCAGGAGGGACCATGGGAGTCTGCACTGCTTGGAGCCGGTGGAAGAAACACACGTTTGTCAATGACTACTTTTGGGGCATGTACTTTTGCTTTCACTGCATACTCTTTCTTTGCTGCATCCAAAACAGACTCAACGAGTGCAACATCGACCTCTCTAGATCGCAACAACACCGATGGCTCCTTCAGTCGAAGTAAACTCTGGATGTTTCAAAAGGTAGATCTTCAATCATCAAATCTCATTGGAAAGCCAAAAAATGAATTTGAATCAGCCAAGGATCAAAATATCATTTCGAAACGTTTCCCTTTTCATGGAGACCAAAACGAATCAGTGATAGAATCAAAATTTTAATATTTCGGGGTGTTTCATAATATTTCAAAATGTTGTTATATTTCAATGTATTTGTACAATTATTTCGGAATGTTTCAAAATATTTTAAGATATTTTGGTATATTTTGACCAATGTTTTGAAAAAATAATTCATAAATTTTTTATTTTTTTCGTTCTGTTTCCGAAATGGATCGAAACGCTTCCGAAATACGTCGAAATGTTTCAATTTTCTAATGCACCGAAACAAAATTTTGATCCTTGGAATCAGCATATAGAAGTTAACTATACTAAGAAATTCTCCAGCAAATCGCTTTCCCTTCTATGAATACCAGTCAACAGGTAATCGCAAGTAAACTTGCATTAGAACAAGGGATACTATTCTGCACCGTCTTATATGGCTGAGACTTGGGAGAAGATTGCATAAATAGTATCATACAATCTCCTTTCATCTAAGAACCAAGGCATCTTCAAGAACTAGTTTAGGGCTCTAAGATTGAAAAATGAGAAAAAAAACAGTCATGTCGTCTATTTTGGTTGTCATTATTGTCATTAAATAACATGTAAGAGACTGCTTCAATCTAATTTACCGGATTAATGGGTCAACAGATACTGTAAGGGCTCAAAAGGCTGGTCCAAATGTGTACAACAACCATCATACAAAGAATAATGGCAGATACTCAAATTTTTAAGTTCCATATCGGCAATGGGTACCACATAGATCAGCATTACATACCTGAACAATCAAGCCTTGGAGAAGTTCTTTATATGCACTCCGGTCATCAGAGACACGCAGAAGCCCTTTGCTCGCAGAATCTTTCATAGCAGTTACCACATCATCTTGTGCTTGAAGAACTTTGATACGGGATGCATTCAGCTGCATTGAGTACTCACTGCATAGTAACCATTTTAGCAACCAAAATCTCATACTGATGGTGTTAGAGACAAATCATTAGTAAAACAGGCATTATTTTGTCACAGCAGCCGAGGTTGTCCACGAGCATTTTTAAGCGATCTAAAGGAGCTCTAGCCCTTTACAAATGTTGCTCCAGTGCTGACCGCTGAGACATGGAGGTGAACAAACTTGAGCGGTGTCACCACAAACAGAATGGATTTGATCTCGCACTCGTAATTAAGTTCCCCATCACAATTTCAATTGTATCCAGTCATATGTCTCAGTAATATCCATAATTAGTTTAGGCAGGTTCCATTGCGACCTGGCATCATAGGTCTGAGTTACGAAAATAATCTTTGCACATGCAGGGTTAATTATGCGTAAATTGACCATCCCAGACCCAGCAGTGGTGCCGCCCCCATGCACTAGGCGTCCTTTTTGGTTTAGACGGGTATACTGATTCCTTAGTTACCAAAGCATCCTCATTTACATCAAAAAAAAACAATGGAGATTGCTAAACCAAACATATTCAAATTTGATCATCCGACACAATTATAGGATTCCCAAACCAAAAATCCATGGCCAACCATTACTTCAAACAGATTCCTAAGTTCCGTCATACCACAAAACTAATACTCTTTATTAATCACGAAGCATAAGGTCCAGAGAAAGTTCTAGAATCATGGAAGATACATTAATTAACTCACATTTTCTTACGAACTTCCACCTGCTTCTGTTTACGTTCATACTCTTGTCTGATCTTTTTCTTTTCAGATTCAACTAGTTGCAGTTTCTCGATGTTGAATTCCTATAAAACAAAATGCCAAATAAATTATCAATAAATATCAGTGAAGTGGTGCAGTGGCATACTTTTGACAAAATATGTTAGCCTATCACTTATTCCTCCCCTATCACGTATTCATCAGTCCTCACAACAGAGGCTTTAATATGTCAAATTAAATCATTGAGGAAAACTTTTCCCCAGCTGTCCAAGATGGCAAATCCAGTTCAGGAGGTATGAAATTTAAAATAACAGTTCAGTGTCACGGTCTAATGATATCATGTAACCTGATGCATTCCATCTACAACAGAATCCATTGAGAAATGATTGCTTCACTAATTCAATCGTGTTTAAACCATACAAGGAAAACAAATAAGTCTAAACATCGGCGGAGTCAGCTCTGAAATAAAATCAAAATTCATAAAATAATAGGAAGAAAGCTGAAACCAATCTGTGACGGAATATCATCAAACTCGCTTATATCTAACTGAAAGCGAATGTCTGCAAAACAAAAAATGAACATACAGGTACTAGGACATTCATATTAATCAAACTCACTTACTGCACAGCCAGTGAATACAATTTAACGTGGTAATTTTTTTTTTTTACCGGTTTTCCTAAGAAGAAACACCGAATTCAAAACGGAAAAAAGAAAATAAAAAATCATAGAAGGAAAACAGATAAACAGAAAAGAAAACAAGGCGAAAAGGTAAAAACCTCCTCGGCGGAGACAAGTATCTCATTAGCTTTCTCCTCGGCCTCCTGCCGAATGAATCTAATCATCTGTTGGATCTGCTTGGATACATCTGCGTCGTTCATCTTTGAAATTTCTAGGGTTTCCCCAGAGAGAGAGGGTAGGTCGGTCGATGCCTACGTAAAAATTCACAGCAATCAAATCAAATAAGATTATAAGATTTGAGTGGAGAGATGATTTTTGGTTGTAAAGTAAAGCTTTTAAAGTCCGATTATTTATTAGTCAGTAGTGGGAGGGGAGAGGAGGGGAGCGAAGTTTCAGCCGAACTGACAATTCAGTTCTGGCCATAAAACTTTGAACCAGTCCAAAATATCCTTCCTTCCTCTCTTTCTTGGTCCCGCCCAATCTTTGTGGATCAACAACAACGTCACCTGTCGCTGTAACCCCCTCAAACGCAACAAGAATTGCTTGTTCCAAAAATTACTAATAACTATTAATTTTTCTTCACAAATATTCATTAAATCTTATCTTTCTCTTTACAAGTCTTCTTTTATTTTAAAATTTAATTACTAATAATTTTTGAAGTACAAGTCAGGTGTCATGTCATTTGGGCTCTTGATTTGGTTCTAAAATTTGATCAGTGTAGCATTACTGATAATTTTTAGAAAAAATCACATCAAAATCTCGTCAAATTTATTACTTAATCATCTAGACTCTTAACATTTAAAATATTACATAGAAACTTCTTAAATTTGTACGCGCATAACCTACAGACTTTTGTCGTTAAGATCCGCTATAATATCTATTAATAAATTACATCAAAACCCCTAAAATTTGAAATGTATAATATTTAAACTCCTTAAATTTAAAATATTATAATTAAATCAAAAATACTTCAATTATATATAGAATATCAAATATTTTAAATTTTATAACTAAAATGCATGTTCTATGATGTCATTTATTGAAATAAAATTAAAAATAAAAATTCAAATATTTTTAAAAAAAAATCATAAGTAGTATGGTTAATGTCAAAATTTAGATAACCTCTACATTAGTTTATTCGACTTTGACCACATCAAAAAGAAGTTGAAGACCGGAGTGGAGTTCTGAAGATCGAGTCTCAAATACTTAACTTAATAAATGACTCAAAGGTATAAATTGTATTTAGAAGTTAAGAAGTGACATACTTTGAGCATCTTTGACTAAATGGACTTTTTACTATGAGTGAATTTTTTCATAATTAAGTACGAATATATGAAATAAGTCTAATCAACACATTTGCATGTTCTATTATATCATCCACTTACATAAAACCTAAACAAAATATCAATTTTTGGAAGAAAAAATAATAATCAGTATAAATATATCAAAGAACTCGATTCATCAGTCATTTGCATACAATTATATTGTCTATTATAATAAAACTAACAAAAATCAAATAAGAGGTCAAGCTATAATGAACACAATATCTTCTATTTTTAATTAAGATAATTTGGTCGTTTCATAGGTCCTATTAGTTTCGTAACTAATAAAAGGTGTAAATATAATATTTTAAACTTGAGAGATTTAAGTGTTATATGTCTACAAGTTTTAGGGGTCTGTCTATTCTCTCCTTCTCCTCTTTCGTCATTGATTTTGCTTTTGGTTAATTTTATCTGTTTCTAATTCTGCTTCTTCTTCTCTATTTCTCCTATTTTGCTATTGTTTTTGTTTCTAATTCTTCATAGCTACTTTTGCTTCTAATTCTCCCTCTTCTTCTCTACTTTTGATTCTGCTTCTGTTTTATTTTAGATGGGATACTGTGTTTGTGTTTCTATGCTTCTGTTTTATTTTGACTGTGATTCTTCTTCTATGTTTATGCTGATTCAAAGTTTGTATCAAATGAAACAACTTGGACAATTAGAAGTAATTAAACTAAAATATTTACTTTTTTTTTTTTACTATTATCTTTGCTTCGATGAAGCGTTTCACATCGCCTCTTGCTTCTCACCTAGGTGTCAAGAGACTTGTTCGCTTCGATTTGTTTTACACCTTAAATAACATTAGTCTCAACCTAATTAGGATCATAGAGATTAAACGTATCACATTGGTCATATTCCTAGATTTAAGTACAAAACAATAAATAGTAAGGTCTCGATTGAATGTGTTTTATGACTTATGATGGTGTTATGGTTTAAATTTAAAACTATCAAATGGATTAATGTTAGCTTGTTGTGACAAAACTTATCAGGCTTATTCTTACCTCCAAAATTCATCTAATGTAATAATTTATGAATAAGATATTTAATGAGTTTTTTCTTTCAATTGTGAACTGAGTATAAAGAATTCGAGTTGCAGAAACAATCTTTCAGTAGCAAGAGTAGTCCGCGAACTAAATTGCCCTGTATGAGTTCTCTCTTCCCATATTCAAGTTGAATGATTTAGAAAAACCAAGTGATTGCCAAAAAAAAAAAAAATGCGCATAGATTTAGTTGGTTAGAAAAAAATGGTTGGCCTCTACTTGTGTAAACATTAAATTAATGGGGTGAAATGGGGAAGTATTATCATCTAGTTTTGTGGAGAAGTTTGAAACTGTTGTTGCCATCGCATGTTTGATGAGGGCTTTCTCTAGGCTGCAGCATTCTATATTCATGGTTAACGCGCCTCTGTTATTATTAGAGACATTTTTCTTTTTAGATTGTCTACATTGTTACTTGCTGCCCTACTTGTCTTAGATTTTCATCCAATTTCTCACGCACACAGGATATTGGAGCAGGAAATTCGTGAAGCTGTTGAATTACCTCTGACAAATCATGAACTGTACAAGCAGATTGGCATAAATCCTCCACGTGGCGTGTTGCTTTATGGTCCACCAGACTGGTAAAACCATGCTTGCCAAGGCTGTAATAAACTTTTGGCATGCCCGATAAGACAACATTATTAAATTGGATCAAGAAAAATAGTACGAATGAGGAATAAGACGAGATTATATTTGAAACTAACGAAATTGTAAAAATGACGCCAGTTGATGACAATCATGAAGTTAATACTTTGATATGATGTTTAATGAAGAACCTGTGGAGGTCTTTCTAAACTTTTTCCCAGGAAGAAATTTTAGGGGGAGAAATGGACCAAGGGTGATAGGCAAGTGTCAATTTTTGGCAAAACTGACTGGTGTGGACATCTATTTTAGGGGGAGAATGAACCAAATGTGATCCCTAAAGGAGGCAAGTGTCAATTTTTGGCAAAACTGCCTGGTGTGGACATCTATGAGAGGTGCCCGTATGATGCAATTCTGCTCAAAGACGACTTGAAGAACACCAATTGGCTGCACAGTGTTGACGATGAGTCTGATCAAGGACCCATCTTTGACAATAGGATTTGAATCCCTGCCTGAACCTTTTGGCTCGCTGTAACCCCTGTTTAGTGGTTATTCTTTCTGAATTTATTTTCAAGATTTTGTTAAGTTTTGTTCTATATATGTATGCGCACGCGTGTGTGTTATCTCCTTTCCTCGTACATCCACTAATGCCCATGCCCCGACAATCTATTATTAATATAGTCTACGGTAATCGTACCTGGGTTTGCATTGGAACAACTGAACTGCATCAAACTATCCAAGAAAAAATGGTATACCGACTAGTTTATCCTTTCTGGCTCTGTGGCTCATATCTAAATAAGGGGGTCATTTGACCCAATAATGTATAACCGGACTAATGAAGGAAGCTATCGCCCCGAATTTACAAAGCTCTTATTATCGACCAAATCAGCACCACTAACATATCTTGCAAAAAAAGATATTAATCGAAATGGAGCACCAATCAATGGAGCATCTAAGAGTGGCACATCAGCTTCCTCTTCATTATGAGCAGCCTCTGAATCTGTATCCTGCACTTCGCTCTCATCCAATGGAATTTGCACAATTTCTTCTGACTCGATGGTTTCTGAAGGGTTTGGAACCACAGAAGTATAATCGGCATTCATGGAATCACTACCATTTCTCTCATCTTTAATGAATACATCTTGCACGGACTCCATAGTCTCACCTGATACAGGCATCCTCTCACCGACTTCAAGCATGGGATCTGCAGCAGGGGCAGTTTCATGCCTTGCAGCAGTTCCAACCATTGGATCAGATCCAATAGCAGAACTTTCAGTGACATAAGCAGATAGGTCAGTTCCTCCAACCACTGCACCGGCTCCAACTGATGAAGGCAGCTCGGTTGTAGCAATCCTTTGGTCAAGTTCAACATACAATTCATTCACCTGAAACAAAATGGCGAGACCATAAAAAAAACCCCATAAGAACATAAAACTTTCGGCACAAGCATACAGATGAATTTCATCAACTCGAGACAATCAAATTGGAGAGCATTTTCAAGATATATAACAAAGGTCAGGGTCAATGGATCTTTAAAATGCCCATTGCATCTGGACATGGGTTATTACCTTCTCATCAAGTTCTGCATTTTCGGTAGTCAATTTCTCAACTGGTGCAATTTCCATCTGAGTCTCCATGTCCCCATTTTCAGAAGCGTGCTACATCAAGGGGTGGAAACAACAGAAGATATCACACATAGGATAAGAGAAGGATAAATGCAGCAGACTAAGTCCATTCTCAATGAATTTTTTGCCCTCAAATTTTATTGTGTTATCCATATTTGGATGAAAAATTCCCTTCTTTTGAAAATTTGTACACTTACAAGTTTTGACTACCTGAGTTGTAAAGCCACATCCATGTTACATTACACAAAAAATTAATATTATCTTTTGTTTAATTTATAGGAAACACAATTTTATTAAAAGTATAAAGATATCATACAAATGAAACTCATGGATGGACAAGTCATCCATCCAAGATGCAATCCATCAAAAAACATTACATTGGGAAAAAAAACATGATAAGCCAACTAATCAATCACAAGCCGCCTTCCAATTCGGCAAAATTTCAAAAAGAGGGATATTTGCAAACTCATTTGAAACCGAAGCCCAAAAAATTGCTAAAAAGTGAATTCGGTCCCAAAATCCATCAAACACTTCATACTTGTCCTTAAATATTTTTAAATTTCTCTTCAACCAAATCACCCAAATAATTGCAAACCTTCCCAAAGAGTGCTTCCTTTACTTTTCCTTCCAAATCCTTTATAATTCACACACAACATTGTTGAAATTGAATTTGGAACCCCCAAGAATGTCCCCCCACTTCAAACAACTTATTCCATAAATCTAATGCAATTGGACAATGCAAAAACAAATGGTTCACATTTTCGCAATCCTTCTTGCACATAACACACCATTGAGGGTGGAGTCAAGTCTGAGGTCCTCTTTTTTGAAGCAAGTCATTAGTGTTAATCTTCACAAGAGCAAGGACCCATGCACAAACTTGTATTTTTGAAGGCACCTTACTCTTCCAAATCTTCAAAGATGGATAAAAAATTGGGAGGGAGACTGATTTCATCAACCAAAGAATCAAAGTAAGGTTTGCAAGAAAAAGAGCTCGTTGAATCAATGATCCAACTTCTTTTGTCAATCATGATGTAAATTTACATTACCAAGTAAAGAAAGAATGAGACCAATTCCGAAGTTTCCCTATCATTAAGACTCCTACGAAAACCAAAGCCATGATGTCGGATTTGAAAAAAACCTAACCAATGATGCAATATGAGCATGATGATATCATGAAAGCTTATAAAGCCGAGGATATACTTAAAATGTAAAATCAAAATTACGGTTTAGAGAGAGTAGAAGAGAAGAAGAGAGAAAAACAAGATTTGGAGTGAAATGTGTGTATAGCTATGCTGTCCTACACTTCTTATTTATAGCAAAGAAATAGTTAGGGTAATCACAATATTACCTTATGCTCACTAAATATGACCAATTCAAAAAATAAGAACTCTAACACAATGTTACTTGGATTATGGGTCGCTTTGGTACGTGGTACAGATACATGGTAAGACACTTTCTTAGATACACGGTACGATGGGAGTAGGTTTACCTGGTACGGTATTTGGGTCGCACTTCGTTTGTGAACTCTTATGTAGATCGTTTTTACTACTATACAATATTATATATTACAGAACATTCATAAACACTAAGTTAATTACCATTTATCTTATAGTTGTACTTAATTTTCTATTATCAAAAATAATATATAATTATAAATCTATATGCACGTAGTCAATTAATATGTATTTTATATTTATACATGTTCTAAAACAAATTGATTTAGAGTTAGTATTACAATTTGAGGTCGTCCATTTTGGTAATTTAGATCGCAAACTCACCTCTTTTGGGATCAATGTACACAAATCGTGGGTCGTTAAGGATTGAGTGAATTATGGTAACCATGCTCTAACATTTATCCTCAAGCTGGAACATAAATACAAAAAATGTCTAACTTGTAATATAAATTACTAAAGGCATATCGAGGTAATGGGTTGGTAAGAATGTGACCCAGCTGTTCACCATTCTGAATATATAGAGTATAATTTCCTTAAGCATCAAGAGATCTAGAATAAAATAATAATTCACCTCAATGTGTTTGATATGCTCATAAAATACCATATTACTTGCAATAAAAATAGTTGTTTGATTGTCGCAATGCATCTTCATGGGGAAAGGCACATTAATTCCCATATCATGAAGTAAAGAGCGAACTCACAACATCTCACATGCAGTTTGAGCCATAACTCGATATTTAGGTTCAACACTTGAACATGCAACCATATTATGTGTTTTACTAAGCCAAGTAGCAAGATTATCACCAATAAATGTACAATAATTAGAAGTAGATCGTCTATCACCGTGACCACCTGCCCAATCAACATAAAAAAAAAACCAATAACAATAATGGGTGATGATGGACGATATAATAAGCTTTTCCCTAGAGTTCTTTTCAGATATCGAAATATGCAACACAAAACCTCCCAATAAAGCTTACGAGGAGCATGAATGAATTGACTAACCACACCAACATCATATGTAATATTAGGACGTGACATTGTCAGCTAAATTAGCTTACCAACTAACCTCCGACAATGCCCTATATCATCAAAAACTTCTCCATTATCTACATTTAACTGCACTGTAGAGTCTATGGGAATATCAACCAGACGCGCACCAAAAATACCAATTTCAGATAATAAGTCCAATACATATTTCCATCGACATAAACTAATACCCTCATTTGACCGGATAACCACAATCTTTAGGAATTTCTAAAGAAGACTCAAATTTTTAGTATGAAACTAACTCCCTAAATAGACCTTGAAGTGAACAATATTATCAGAGTCATTACCACTAATAATAATATCAACAACACACAAAATAACAATGATAACACCTACAGAAGACCGACGAACAAAAACTGAATAATCTCAAGTAGAACATTGAAAACCAAATTGAAGTACCATTGTACTAAATTTATTAAACCAAACACATGGTGATTGTTTCAAGCCATATAGTGATTGTAAATCTCCATATAGCAAAACATTATTTATATCCGGTTGATATAAAGGTCAATCACAACTAACCGCAACAAAAATAAGAACTTAACAGAATTAAGATGACCAATTAGAAAAGAAGTCTCATCGTAATTCACACCATATGTCTGAGTATAGCCTTTGACAATCAGGTGTGCCCTAGATCACATAGATTGGGAGCAGGAGTGCAAAAGCTAAAAAATTCAAAAAAACAAATTTGAGAGCGCCGTTAGAACGTCATCTTATATATATACACTAGTCATAATCCCGTGCCTAAAGGCACTTTACAACTGAAAAAACACTGTCATTTTGAAACAATTTTTCTTTCATTTGCTTCAATTAAAGAAATTGAAATCAATCTAGTCTTCACTATTTTTTAAAAAAATCGTCATAATTTCCTCTAAAAATAGTAATCTAGAAAAATCTCGACCTATATACAAAGATTATATATCTCATAATCATACCCAAATTAACACCATAATATTAATCATTCATGTCATGGTCCATCCTTAAAACAACAATTTAACAACATAACAATTTACCTAGCTATTGGTTAACCCCATTCAAGTATTGGTTGAATTGCATATAAGTTTAAATTAATATGGGCTTTCTATTTTTCAAATAATTTCAACAAAGTCATCTCCAAAAATTAACAATATAAGGTTCCTTGGTTATGAAAAAGAATTACAGTCCAGCCATGCATTGATCAAGCTATCAGAACAACAACTTTGTGTGACTTAATCAACCTGAAGACTGGAAAGAAAATGAAAAATGGAAGGAAAAATGGAAAAGGAAAAATGGACACTAAACCAGACATAAAAGAAAAGGAAAAATGGAAGCGTATAAGCGTATGCGAGAAAATAAGAATTGCAAACCCAATAAAGCAAATGCGAGAAAATGGAAGCGTGTAAGCAATTGTCTAAACCCAATAAAACAAATGGAAACACAAAAATAGAACTAATTTGTAACGGAAAAATTGAAGATGCCTCTATAAAAGCCCAAATTCAATTCTAATAAGCGGGGATGCAAATAACTCATTCATAAGCATTTTGATGTATGTTCACACCTTGTTCACACTGTTCAAGGAATGGTAGGATCAAAGCTCCTACACTCCATTGAAGATTTCTGTACACCTTCACAGAAAAAAAACCTTAAAGGACACCCAATCTAAATGTAACCGGAACCAACGTCTTGAATGCGTATTGGATCGGTATCATGCCCGAGAACGTGTTGTTCTCCAAGGACAAAGCTGACAATTTGGGCATGAAACCCATGAACCCGGGTGAGTGAAGAGACCCGATGGGACTAACCCACTGAGGTCCACCACCTTCTGTCCTTAGAGAACTTTCTTCCATTAAAGTTCAAAAACCTCGCTGTGTGTGCTGCTGAAAACCCCCATGTTTACGCGCAATGTCATGAAAACTCCCATGTTTCAAAAGTCGGTCATTGGTGAAAGGGATTCGTGTGTGTGAATATGAATGGTGTGTGTGCTGCTAAGCGATTGGAGAGAGAGAGGAAGAGAGGGGGAGAGGAAAGTACCTGGGCTGAGCTGTCGCTGGTGTGTGTGCTGCCCCTGAGAACGTTGGTGTGAATGGTGTGTGCTACCGCTGAGCCATGGCAGATGAGTGAGAAGGGTCTGGGTAACGGTGTAAGGGTACCGCTGTGTTGAGCCATGAGCCATGGCAGAGGAGGTGACTGGTGAACAGTGCAAAGGTGGGTAGCGTGTAGGGATTTGTTTCATTTGGGCGGGATTTATTTTTTATTTGAGATGAAATGTGAACCATCGGATCAAATCAGAAGAATTGAGGTGAAATTTAGGCCTTTGAATTAAAATTAGATTTAATCTGAACCGTTCTTGTGCTTTCCCAAATGAATTGAAATTGAATTAAATTTTTAAACGAAAAAAAATTTAAATTGAGTTCTATCTTATTATTATAGATTGAAATCAAACTAATCCATACTATTTTTCAAAAATTTCGATAAAATTTCATCTAAAAGTAAGAGCCGAGAAAAATATAAACATGTCTACGGAACTTACAATCATACATAATAATCTTCATAATACACCGTACCACCAAATAAATTCACATAAATAGGAATCCTTTGGTTTGAACATTCCATATTTTGAAGTATCGGTCAATAATAAAATTGCAACCCTTAGCAATAAAACAAAACCAAAACAGTATGTATGGTAAAGTATCTCAGAGAATCCATCTACCCATAGAGAACTATTGAGTATTTTCAGCCTTCCATGAGTTGGGGAAAACAAAAATCTATAATACATGAAACAATGTGAACCACCGTCAATGGACTCATTAAACATTAATCCAAGCATCAGAATTTTAAGTGAACAAAAAAATTCATATTCAACTAAAACAATTTAAAATAGCAACATAAGCAAACAACAAAAAAGATGGTGTGTTAATTGAGATGAAATTCATGAAAATAAAATTTGAGAAAAATAATAAATTCACTTCATTCATGATACCTTATCTACACCATTCGTAGTGTATATAGAAATTCAATAGTATGTCATAGTCTCTATGTAAATAATCAAACCACCAACCATGCACCAAAGAAACCCATTCCCAACCAATCGATCCACTTCGTGAAAATTTCCAAACAATAAAAATCATAGCCTCTTCAAACTCACCTTATTGCAAGAATTGTGTTGTGTGCGCAAGTGAGGTGCATGAGAATTGGTACAAATCTACTTATCATTAAAAAACACAAGAATTTAAAGAAAACACGACTCAATTCATTTATCGAATTCAATAGCATACTCCAATTCTACTTTAACAAAATCATTTATCAACTACCGCGACAACTCAGTAATATCATCAAACAGACTATGTCGCAATGAGTGTGGATCATGGTTTAGAAAGAACTAATTTTCCATAAAACAAAGAAGCCTAGAAAGTAGAAACCGAACCCACCTTCTTCCTCTTCTTTATTAAATTTTTTATCTGTATCCTGTTAATTGCAGTGACTGTCAATGTGCCTGCCTACAAAATTAAGGAAACCCATAATTCAGTAAAGATAGCAGGGAGTAAGATAGTGTCTACAATCGGAAACTCAGACAACTCGATTCCACAAAAAGATTTACCAAAAATATTTGAATACATTAATTTTGAGTTCTTTTCATGCAAGCAATACAACAAACACCTTCTGCACGTGCCTACGCTACTTTCCAAATAACTGTCCACAAATACACCAAAACCACATAATGCCTTCAGACACCTTTAGTGATGATTCTTCAATGTAAATATAATGTTTGGAAGGCCATAAATATAGCTACTGTACCCTAACAGTGCACACAAATTTGGAGCAGCACCATTATTTAGATGTAAATGAAACCCACTCAAGCGCAATAACAATATGAAGATAATAACTAACGTACATTTCAGCTATCAAATAGATATTGATCAAGCAACGCCTACACAAAGTTCCAAGGGATCCATTGCTCCAAATGACGATAACACAAAAGAGACACATTGCTCCAAATGATGACAATTGAAACACCACATGATATATTTATTTCGCAAACATTCAAGATAAATGTCGTCTCAATCTCTCAATTTCAAACTAAAGCACTAACAGTTCACATGATATATTTAACATGATATATTTAACAATAGAGTACCTCTCGGAGGCATTTCAACAAACAGTTCAAGTACACTAACTGAACACCCAAAGTGATCCAATCCAAGAAAATGGATGGGGAATCTGGCGATACCCTATTCATATTTTAGTTATGCTACTGGCGGGGTCGTTGGTGGGTCTCCATGGTGGTGGTCATTGTTCAGGCTAGTAGATAAGAGAGTGAAGAGGGAAAGATAGAGTGGTGAGAGAAAGATAAGATAGAGATTGGGGAAGAGAAAGGGGTTAACAAACGCATGAGAGAGAAGAGATAGGGAGGAGAGAGAACCGAGAGAGAGGGGAATAGAAAGTACCTAGCGGCTGGAGATGGTAACCCCGGTAGGTGGCGCTGGTGGTTTCGGCAGATGACGCTGGTGGTTTCGACTCTAGTGGGTCTGTCTCTCTTGGTGGCTTACAAAGTGAGAAGAGAGAGAGACAGGTACTGAGCGAGAGGTGAGAAAGAAGAAGACATTACGCTTAATTGGGGTTGTGTGTTGAACTGGGGTAGTGTGTGTGTGGGGTTAAAATGGGCGGGAGATGATATTTATGTGGGATGTATTTTGAGCCTTTGGATTAAGTTGAAAGAATTGAGATGAAATTTGGACCTTTAAATTAAAAGTGGATTTAATCTGAACCGTTCTTATGCTTTCCCAAATGAATTAAAATTGAAATAAATTTTGAAGTGAAAATGGATTCAAAATTGGTTCTATCTTATTATTATAGATACATGATACATTTTTACAGTATATAGAAATTCTTAGAGAAGGCCCAGCGGTGTGTTTTTATTGGTTACTCTCCTACCCAAAAAAGATATAAATGTTATCATCCCCATACTCAAAAGGTGTCTGTTAGCATGGATGTTACCTTCCGTTAAACTGAGGTATTTTTTCCTAGTATTCAACCATCAAGGAGATAATAATGTCACTAGGGAAGAGATGGTATGTCGGGAACCTCTTCAATTGTCTATTCAATAGAATATTAGTAAGGGAGAGCGACAACTTATTGAGGAAAATAGAGGTAATACTAGTCCATCTAGTACTCGCTTTGAGAAGGATAACCTAAAGACTTATTCTCAGTGTCAAAAGGTACAAGGACAAAATACCCATGTGCCACCAAGTCAACTGAATTCCCTAACTCCTGTTCAAACATTTTCTATTAATTTATCAGGTAATGAACTTTCAGATGTTACTCCTGTTGATAATCTTGTTCTTGATGATTCTGAACTTCTTATTGCAGTCAAAAAAGGTGTTAAAATTTGCACTCAACCCCCCATCTCTAACTTTGTATCTTATGATTCTTTATCCCTATCCTATCGTACTTTTGTTTTCTTTTAATCTTTTGCATCTATACCTCAGGGTTAGAAAAAAGCTCTCACTGATCCTTCCTAAAAAATGAAAGGCTTGAGAAAGGATGATACATAGGAGCTAATTCCTCTTCCTAATGGAGCAAGACCAGTAGGGTGCAAATGGGTGTTCACTGTTAAACATCAAGCCGATGGGACAGTCAAGAGGTACAATGCAGGTTGGTTGCTAAGGGTTTCACTCAGACCTATAGTATTGATTATCAGAAGACTTTAGTCCGTATGGCAATGATGATCTCCATACGTGTTCTTCTTTCATGTGCAGCTAATCTGGGTTAAAGTCCCTAGCAGTTGGACCTGAAGAATGGTTTTCTTCATGTAGACTTGGAAGAAGAGGTGTATATGGAAATTGCACCAAGTTTTTCATCCTAGTTAACCGAAGAAAATATATGTAAGTTGAAGAAGTCTCTTCATGGGCTAAAGTAGTCTCATAGAGCATGATTTGATAGGTTTCTCAAAGCTATGCTTGAATTTAGATATAAACAAAGTCATGTTGATCATACTATGTTCATTACACAGGTTGATGATAAGATAAATGTTATGATTGTGTTTGTGGATGACATTGTAATAACTAGGAATGATGTACAAGCAACCACCAAACTTAAATCTCAGTTGGCTAAGGAGTTTCAAATCAAAAACTTGGATTCATTAAGATACTTTTTTGGGATTGAGGTTGTTAGATCAGATAAATACATTTTTTATCTCAGAGAAAGTATGATCTTGACCTTCCTGAAAGAACAGACATGTTGGGATATAGACCTACAGATCCTCTCATTAAAGTCAATCATCAATTGAATAGTGGAGTTGGTTATCCTCTCAGTCAGTTCATGCATGATCTTCAAACTTCTCGTCTTGAAGTTGTTTATCATATTTTGACCATTTGATATCAGCTCTAACAAAAAGGATTTTACTCTCCAAATATGGTTACTTGAAGTTAGAAATATTCACTGATGCAAACCAGGCAGTTTCTGTCGATAACAGGCAATCTACTTTGGGCTATTGCAATTTGATAGGATGAAACCTTATCACTTGGCAAAACAAAAAATAAGCAGTGGTAGTTAGGGCTACTGCTGAGGCTAAATATAGAGTAATGGCTCATAGAATTGGTGAGCTTATGTAGCTTAAAACCGTACTGGGAGAGCTAAGAATTCATGATGATGGGCCTATGAGACTTTACTATGATAATAACGCTACTATCAATATTGTTCATAATCCAATTCAACATGATAGAACCAAACATGTTGAAATTGACCAACATTTTATCAAAGAAAAGCTGAACAAAGATTTAATTTGCATGCTTTTTGTGAAATCAAATAACCAATTGGTCGATGTTTTCACCAAGGGACTTGGTAACAAATTTTTTCCTCCTATTATTTGCATGTTAGGCATGAAAGATATCTATGCACCAACTTGAAGGGGAGTGTTAGTTATTGTTAGTTATGCTTTATTTTTAGCTCGAGGGTATTCTTGTAGTTGTGTAACCTAAGATACTACATTTTCACAGCCGTTTGTCTCTTCTTCTCTTCTTTCGTCAAACTCTAATCCTAAAACTTCATATTCTAACTTAGGGAAAGGTTTTTTTAAGGAGGATGCTTTCAACAACATATGTTGCATGGGAAATGTGTGGGTTTCTCCTGCCCACTAACTATTATATGATGATAATGCCAAATATGTTGATTCATGCGGCCATCAAGGAGTATCCTACCCAGTGCAGTCCGCACACACAATGTACTACCCATCCAAACCTAGTCATACTTTCTCAAGAAGATACAACAGAGAGAAAATTGGATCCGTAAAAGCATGTATAAAAACTCCAAAAAGCCATCTATGGCACAACACCTCCACAAAATGGGCCAGACACAAAATTCATAATTTGGGATTTTGAACAAAAGATACACCAAAACCCAGTTATGCATAATAAATAACAACATATTCTGTGAGCAGATCCATCAAGTGCAGTGGAACTGGAAGAGAGAATATGGGAAACAAACCATTGTGTTCTTAATTGAGGAATGAAGAGAAGCAGTACTCTCAAGGCTTTGAATCTTTGAATGCAGACCAGATATGGTTTCTATCAGCTGCTGGTTATCTTGTAAAAGGCTGTTCCTGGATTCTTCCAACTCCCTCACCTGTCAGGCTTTTATTTTAATATCCATATCAGAACAAGTATAGATGAGTTGTGAATAGGCTGTGAACAAGGGTCGATGTGCATGGAACTATGATGTTCTGCTGCTCAAAAACAAGTATAGAAGATATTTGTATTTGGACAAAAAATAGCAATGGATCTGTGCCTTTTTGATTGGGAAGGATAATGCGCTTACGAAGAGGGAAAAGAGAAACTTTAAAACAAATAAGGTAAAGTGAAATGGCGACACTACTTCTCAAACCCAACTTATCCAATGGCTTCTACATGCAAAACTTAAGGCTAATGTGAAAAGAAGGTCTTAAAAATACATCCTGAGATTGGAACTGTTTCAAACCATGAAACTTCAAAGCAAAAGAACTTTATTGGTTATTTGAATCCTCTTCCATGTGCAGCAGAGGCACCTAAATACTCTTCTACAAGGAATACTATTCAAATTATCTCAGGATTATTATTCAACAATGGAATGGATATGTTTTCAGATATGGGGAATGACAAAAATGTATAACACAAATTCAACAAGCCAGCATGGATGAAAATAGAAGTTATTTTTTTACCAAAGGAATAATATTTTATGGCACCTAATGGGTGCCTAGTGCGGAATCAAAACATCCTGTAGCCATCAGATATGGCTTGATCTGCTATAACTACAAGGCCATTGGTGAATCAACTAATAATTCAATTATTATACTTAATATTACCTGTGCCTGTAGTTTTGTCTTCTCACCATCCAAGATGGCAATTGTCTCTTTGGTTGAGTTCTGTCAAGGACGAGGGATTGAAAATCAGATCAACGAGTACCTTTCTTGAATTCTTTATCGTCATTAAAACAAAATAAAGAGGGAAAAACTTCAGCTGATAACTCCTACTCATTAATGTTCATCCACACTATAACAACTATAATTTAAAAGGAGGGGGTCTGAGAGAAAAGCAAATTAGTCAAAGATTTCAGCAAAAACCTGCACCAACAAAATTGCCATGCTAAATAGGTGGTTATCATTTTGAGATATCAGGAGCACTTAACAGTCTAGAGGTCATGTAAGAACAAAAAAGGAGATAAGATCATCAAAAGTTCAAAACAGTGCCAAAGAAACACACATATAATAAAGCCAAAGTTCTTTTCCTTTTCTTTAAAAAAAAAATAAGTCAATTTATCAAATAGAAACGGTGCAAGTCGCAGATATGGATTTAATTCTTATTGGCAGAAATAAGACATAACATTTGGAACTGAAAAAAGGAGGACAGGATCATCTTTTGATTTCATAAACAAAAGTTATTTTTTGAATAGTCTGATCTAGAAAACATGGTCCTTTCAATATCTAAAAAGAACCAAAATATAAAAGCCATACAAATTTGATTATTTGCAAAAATGGCGAAAGGTCAACTTAATTCAACAAAGTCTTCTCCCAATATTTTGTAGGCCCTGTCATGCCATGAAGCTCTATTAAAGGTCATGTTTTTAGTTAAACCTAAAAAACACGGACACGGGACACGATACAATACGACACGACGCGAACACAACATTTCTAAAAAAATTAGAATACGGACATGTTGTGGACACATTACAGATAATTGTGTTTTATATATATAATTTATCACAAATATAGTGGTAATGATATATTGTTCATAAAAAAAATCAGTATTTTATGATAAATAAATGTTGTCTCTAGTCATTTGGTGTGAATATTTAGACTAACATCATAATAATAAATAATTATCAATTTACTTTTGTAGACGTGTACTATACATATATAATTTAAATGATTACTCTCATCTCAATTGTTGTTTTCTAAATCTTTTATGTATCTTTTACTTTTGTTATTATATTTTTAGTACAATTTTAACATGTCTAATCTTGGTAATTGTATGTTCTCTTATAGTATAAGACAATTAAGAATCAAAATTTTAAACTTATTAATCACATGTCAACATATGTTTATTGTTTAATAGTAGAAACGGTTTAAAGAATAACCATATGACATATGAGAGAATAAACACATAAGTTCAAACCATAATAGTGACATGTGATGTGATTAATAAGTTTAAAATTCACCCATAACTTATAAATCAACTTCTTGAGAGTGTCCGTGCTTTATAGAGTTAAACCATAAGTTATCTTTCTTTTTTTTTTATTTCATTTAAGTTAATTTGGTCTTTCTCTTCCCCTATGTTTATTGCCAATAACTATCATATCATTCTTTAACACAGGTGCTATAGTATGCCGACTATAAATATATTCAAACCACCTAAGTCAATTCACCCTTAACTTATATTTTATATTTGCGACATCTATTTTTTATGGATATATTTATTCCTAATTTTATCTTTCCTAGTTTTACCACAACATACATCTAAACATTCTCATTGTTGACACAATTAATTTTTGAACATATTTGTTAGTTGCCCAACATTCAGTACCACAAAGCATAGCGGGCCTTATGGATGTTCTATAGAACTCTCCTTTTAACTTAAGTGGTATACGTGTATCAGACAATATACCGGATGCATTCCTCCATTTAATTCATCTTGCATTACACTACAGTGGTAGAACCTAAAAAGAAGGGAGGGGAAAGGCAACTATCCCTACTAGTTTCTTCCCTTTCTTTTCCTTTTGTGTTTGAAGGGTGAAGACAAATATGTCTACAAATTTGCAAATATCTTTCAATTGGTAACAACTACAAATGGGAAAAACTTTATGCATCATGGCACGGAGAAGCATTTACCTCCTTTTGGACCCAGTAATCTCTATCTTTGTCCATCTGTTTAACTTTTTCTTCTAAGCTCACCTGATATACAGAGTAGAAGTTAAGTTACTGAAGCAAATCAAATTCTCCTGCAAGTGACTAGACAGAATACCAAATGACCAATAATAAACAAAGAAACTCCATAAGATACAAAAACAATAAGGGAACGAATTCCCAAGTGAGGAAATTAAAAGTATGTGGCAACTTTATAGTTCAAAACCAATTACCCGTTTCAAACTCAGAGTGGCTGTTTCATCAACTAACTGACTAATTTTCTCCTCAAATTCATCCTGAAAATATCAAGACATTAGATTAAAGCAATTAATAGACATCAACAGATCTTCCCCAAATTTCATGTGGCCAAAAAGTAAATGGTGTTATTTATGAAATTCTGGGAAAACAAATATCAAAGTTAAACAGCTATCTGAGTTTTAGTGTCTTTCAACTTCCATATAGCCCCAATCATTCCTCTAACATCACCTGTTTTTGAAGCCAGCAATCTTTTTCACTTTGCAATCGTGAAATTGTCATCTCGAGACAAGCCCGCAAATTGAATAAAAAATATAAATTAAGCCTATTATAAACTCCAATACTACAACATCAAACTTCCTCCCATTAAATTAAGTTTCATTACATCTTTTTAAATGTATGCATCCTCTCTCTTTTGTAGTTTTTCAAGTTTCTCTTCTAGGCTAGCCTGCAAAAGCCCACTTGGTCACTCGTTGCTTCTTTTTGTTGTCTTCTTAAACAAAAAAATTGCAGAAACACAAAATTCTATATCACAATACCGATCTATTCCTCCATCAAATCCAGCTTATATTACCTCTTTTTGTAAGTGTGCTGCTTTTTCCTGTTGTAATTGGTCAATTTTCTCTTCTAGGATAGCCTGTAAAAGCACATAAATGCAATCAACTGAGTTGCAAAAAGTTAAGGGAAAAAGAAAATAAAAGTGTGCATGAGGCATAAATTAGGCATATCCACAGAGTTCTATGACGCAAAATCAATCAGTTCCTTCTTAAGATAAAGTTTTCATTACCTCTTTTTGCATTCGAGCATCTTTTTCTTTTTCTAATTGTTTAATTTTATCTTCGAGGATAGCCTGTAGAAGCCCAGAGAGTTACCAACTGCTTTTGAAAAATATAAATAGAACAAACAATTTTGCACATGAAAAAGTAATTTATCACAGTGCCAATCTATGTCCCCTTTAAGTTTCATTTCAATCACCTCTTTTAGTATTTGTGCATCTTTTTTGTTTTGTAGTTGTTTAATGTTCTCTTCCAAGATAGCTTTACAGGAATTTATTTTTTTTCAGAAAGTTTTACATCAACTTATTTACTAATGGAAGAAAGCTAAAATTGCATATGAGAAATAAATTAAGCACAATTACCAAGTTGTTATTGCAATAGCAGTCTGGTAGCACATTAATTGAAGTGCATATTACCTCTTTCAGTACTTGGGATTCCTTTTCCTTTTGTAATTCTTTAATTTTCTCAGCTAGGCTAGCCTGTATAAGCCCAAAAAGGCAAAAAATCACTAATTACTTCAGAATGATGAAATTAAATAGTCATGCAAATTTGAGACTCTATCCACACCTCTCTCGCCAGCAAGCATTGTTTCTCCTCAGGAAAAATTGACTATAAAACAAAATTGAAGTTAGCACAAGAACATTAAGAAATGGAATAAAGAGAACCCAAAGAATTTGAGCAGCAAAAAAATGTTCAGAAAATGATGGCACAAATCACCTTACTCTCTTTATTAAAAATAAATACATGTTGAACAAATTAATTAACTGAAAAACCATGCGAAGTTTTCAGCCAGAACAAGTATAAATGCAAATGGGTTTACACAAGCCAACTTTAAAGGGTTCAAAAAAATCTCTGATAAAAAATAATATCAGCAAATTTCATAAGTCACTCAATCTCAAACTTGACTGCAGATGGAATAGTTCCTAATTCAAAAAACAAAAGACACGCTATTCACTACTTGCTGAAATCTTCCCTACAGAAATACATTTCCAACCAATTGAGTAGTTCTACACGCATGCATTACACTGCCAACTTACTTTGATTTCGGAGCAATACTTCATTTTGATTTAATAAGAAACTTACGTCCTTAGTGTCATTGGCATGATGTGCATCCAGATCCACGACTGGTTTTCTCACAACATCATTCTGAAAATCTGCAGCCTCAGAAACTTGGCCAAAACTACTCTGCCCATTCTCGGCGGCATGATACTCATCAACAGAGGTCGATTCTATGACACTCACAATAACACTGTCTGCTGTTTTTGTCGGCTTGTTCTTCTTTTTCTTATTTTTCTTCTTCTTCTTTTCATCCTCCATTCCTGAAGCTCAAATCTAACTATGGAGCTAAAAATTTGATGGCAAATTCCTTCAACAAATTTGTTAAATCCACCAACTTTGAATACCAGATAAGATCTTCACACTTCTTCACCCTAAAAACACGTAACCGCTATACAATCAAACTCGTGATTACACACACACACACACACACACACATATATATATATATCATAATTTTATCCAAATCAGCCTAAGATCTCGAATCAGACCTACAACAAACATCCACACACATATATAAACAAATATCTATTTACCCACAATATATAAAAAGACTAAATCAGCATCAAATTTGTGCCCACGCAAAAACAAATCTATGTGACAGGAACCAAAATATTTATAGGTGAATAGAAATCAAAAATAGAAATTCGTGGCCGCATAAAACCCCGAACATATATACATGCATTACAGGTAGCGATGTGGGAAACAGATAAACTAAAATAGAAAATGATGATTTTCAAGTACGGTTCATAATCTCCCTTCAATTTATACCATAAATAAAACACAATAGTGGGTTTATTTAGGAAGATTACGTGCAGATCCAGATGCTCTTTGGAGTTGAGTGCAGTAACGAATTCGGGAGGCTTAGGGTATTTCTTTTTTTTTTTTTTATTCGCTTGGAATTGAAGCAAGTCAGTAGACGCAAGTTTCCCGTGGGCTTTCTTCTTCTTCTTCGTGTTGGCTTGGGCGAGGATATGAGGAAAGGGAGCGAGTGTGTAAAGTAAAATGGCATTCATTCAAATGAGGAGAGACAGGGGAAGGTAAAAATAAATAGGGTAAATTACATCCCACGCCCCACGTTTTATCACTTAATCAGTTAAATGCCTTCGTATTTGACTTTAGCACTTTCGTCTAAGATATGTACACGTAACTGTTTATAATTCTCGATATTGACGTCATCAGAACATTTATATAATAAAGTAGTTTATAATTTAAATTTTAAAAATAAATAAAATTATTTTTATTTTTTGTAGTACAAATCGTTTTTATAAATTTTATTTTAAAATTAATGTAACGACTAATATTAATATTCTAAATTTAATAGAAAAAATAGGCCCCTAACTGTATGGTAATGGTGATTTTTTTAAAATATTTCTACGAATTATTCTTTTAAGTACTTTAAAAAAAATAGTGTTTAAAACTGTCTCACTACTACCTCTGTCGTCGACGCTGCCACCCCCACCACCACTGCCGCCAATACGGTCATTGTCATCCACCACAATCATCATCGTCTCCTACCACCATCACCGTCGCCCACCACCTCTCACCCTACTATAACCGATGTTTAAATTCATTTATCTCTCCTGTATATTTGTGATTTGATTTTGAATATGAATACAAATATATTTATTGTCTATCATTTTTTATTAATCCGTATCTTCAGACACAAGCAATAACTAGTGTAGATAATAAAATACAATACAATTTAAATTTTAAAAGATAAATAAAATAATTTTTTGTTTTTTGCGGTTGAAATCTCTTTAAATTTTATTTTTAAATTAATCCGACGACTAATATTAATACTTTAAATTTAATAAGGAAAATAAGACTTTAAGGATGTATTTGGATGACTTTTTTAAAATGCTTCAAGAACTTATAATTTTTTTTAACTACTTTAAATAAAAAAAGTAGTGTTTGGAACCGTCCCACCCCCACCCCCATTGCAGAACCAAAAAGTCTCCAAGGCCTATTGTTAAGAGTAGTGAATTACTATTCTCATTAACAACATTTAACCAACCGGGCAACCATATGCTTCGACCCACGTTGAATGCCGGTCCATTCGTTGAAGATAAAAGTACGTCGAACCCATATGAAGTTTTACCATGAGCAGATTATATCCATTGAGCAAATATAGGTTCGATCAAGATTTGTTTCTCCCTCACCATTACCACAACAATCATCACTACTATCTCCACCCCACCACCATCCCTACTACCACCACCCTCACCACCACCGTTGTCGTCCCACCATCAACCTCACCGCCCCATGACCATCAACACTGCCATCACTACTGCCGACACCACCACTCATCACCATTGTCATCTCATTCTTATATTTATTATCACTATCACAATCATCTCACAACTATCGTTGCCACCCCCCACTATACCTACCACCACCACCATTCACCGCCCACCACTACCACCACCCACTGCACCCACACCCACCACTGTTATTCGCCACCACCCATCATATTGTCGCCTAAAATCATCCGTTATCACCCACTACTGTCGTCATCCCACCACCATGATTGGCAACAACCATCACCGTCGCCCACCACCACCCACACTCACACCCACCACCACCACCGCTATCACCCATAGCTGTCACTATTACTATCACCATTGCCACTCACAGCTACCAATACCACCACAGTCATTATCATCCACCACAACCATAATTGTCACCTACCACCACCACTGTCGCCCACCACCTCTTACCCCCACTACAACTGATGTTTAAATTAGTTTATCTTTGCTCTATGTTTGTAATTTGATTTTGGATATGAGTACAAATATATTTTTTGTTAACTATTGTTTTTATTACTATGTACCTTCAGGCACAGACAATAACTAGTATAAATATAATTTATCAATCTATCCTTTATATTGGACCCACTCTCAGTTGGTTACCCTACCAAAGCCAACGTAACCCATTAATCAAGTTAATTAACCTTAGAAATTAAATCCATTAACCAAAGCGACTGACCCTTAATTAACATAATTAATTTCATTATTTGTATTTTATGTGTTTATATAATTAACTAGTCTATCACAACAAATTACAACACCAAATTACAGCTTTATGGTTCAACTTCCTCATTGTTCATACCTTAAAACCTGATTAACCTTAATCAATATATAAATTAAAACAATAATAAATTCAAATTAGTGTGATAAAATAACTAAAAACTAACAATTAAAGTCAATTAGGGTTTGTGCAGTAATTAAGATTTTATGTGTGTTATGTTTATAATTTACAGATTTAATGCAAAATTACTACAGAATACAAAGGAGCAAAGTAGGGAAGCTTGAAAATACCAAGGCTAAAGTGTAATTAAATCAAATGAAGAGTCAGCATAATGCAACTTGTAAATTCTAGCCAAGCTCCATCGTCCGGACGGTCACCCTTGATCCTATTTTCATGCCTTCCACCTCTTGCTTCTTCAAACGACTATAAATAGCCATATCCCTTTCAGACTTCAGCCAGCCAAACCCAAGAGAGAAAAGAAAAGAGAAAAAGAAAGGAAAAGAGAAAGAAAAAGAAAAAGAGAAAGAGAAAAAGAGAAGTTGCAAAAATGATCCGGTCTGTGAAGCACTTCAGTCTAAATTTTACATTTCTGTTGTATCTTTCTATTCGGATAGTTGAACTGCTGTCACCTTTTTTTCTTAATTGATAATAAAGGTGATTGTGTTTAAGTTGTTTCTTGTGAAAGACATTTTAGATTTTGCCTTTTAATTTTAGTTATAATGAAAACTGATTGCACTCCTTGCTTGTCTGTAGCAATGGGCCGTGAGTAGTTTCGTATATCCTCTAGTGAGAGGTAAATATATGTATAATACTAGTTAAATTCTGAAAATACTTATGTGTTTATATCTTTATATATCTATATATTATATGCTTCATGCATGATACAATGATGTACGTACTTTCGGTGCTGTGCCTGAAAGTATGTCATCAGTGCATTATCAACCTGCCGGTAAAACAACCATGGCATTCCTATCAGTATGACTAGTCCTCCACCGGAACGCTGAGGATGTTAACTGATGCATGGTACAAAACCTAAATGATCCTCCTGGATTATTAGGGTTTAACTTATATATATATATAAATAGGGGTGATAATTTTTGACACGACACGATAACCCGATACGAAACACGATACGAATAAATGGGTTTGGGTTGACTAATTTTTTGACACGATCCGTATATGACACGACCCGTCAACACGAAATTTTTATGGGTCGTGTTCGGGTTCAACCTGCTTAACCCGAATTTACCCAAATTGACCCGTATATTTAATCGGGTTGACACAAACCCGCTGACCTGTTTTGACCCGGAATTGACCTACCACTATATAAAACATTTAATTGTTTTCCCCAAACCCTAACTTCATTTTTTCCTTCCCTCTGTCCAGCCGCCTCCCTCTTTCCCTCTGTCCAGACGTTTCCTTTCCTTTATTCTCTCTGTCCAGACTCCAGTCGATCTCTCTTGGCGACCAGCGAACCAGACCAGGTTAACTCTCTCTCTCTCTCGCTCTTTCTTTTTCTATATCTCTTCCTTTTGGTGTTGTTTTTTATCTTGGCGTATATTTTTGGCGATCTCTCTTGGCAACCAACGGAACAGAGCAGTTTGAAATTGTTAATATGGTGAAACAGAGCAGCTTGAAATTGTTATTGCATTTAGTATGGCCTCTAGCTTGAGATAATTACTCATGTACACAGGTTTTGTTATTGTTTACTAATTTGTTATTTCACAAATCTCAAAGCCAGTGAAAAGGCTCGGGTTTGACGGTATCATCAAACCCTTGCTACACTTACCCTGATTTTTTCACTTATTTCAATAGCCATACACTTATCCTGATTGCAGTATTCAAGTGGTCTGTATTGTTGGAAACAAATTTTGGGTGATGCTTTGTTTTTGTTGTTCATTGGAATTCCGGATTAAGCTTGATCTTTGTTGGAATTTTTAGAAACTAAGATCATGTTCTATAATCATGTTCTATGCTTTTAGAATGATCATTTTGTTGTGAGTTCCAACCTGATCTATGTCCAGGGCTTATGATTTTGGGCTGAGCATGTTCATTACTTTATGTGTTATGCCCAAATCTGTGATTAAGCATGTTGATGCTTCGTTGGCTTTGGAGGATATTCTTTATGTTTTTCATATTCTGATTACCCTCCTTATTTTTTGCGGTGCTACTCAAAAAAGTCCACTCAAGCTTTGATTCTCCAGCAGCTTGCGTCTAAAGGTGATAACAGT